GGACATGCACCAACGCTACCGACGTGTGTCCCGTGCCCTCTGCCCCTCAGCAGCCGAGGCGGGCGGCGTAGCGTTAAAACTGAACAGAGTGCAACTGCTGTCTGGTCAGAGTCTTGCAGATTTGCATCCAAGCATCGTACGTCCGCCTTCGATTTTTCGATAAGGTCGGGGTACTCGGCTTTCTTCCTCGGGTGGTGTTGCAGCAGGCTGGCATGCAATCAGCTTTTGCAAGTGAGGCATGGCGTTTGTGCTTCTCAAGCAACTCGAAAAACAGGAGCATGCATGGCTTTCTTGCGGTGGGCCACGCTGCAATCCAATCCATCATCGGCTGGTAGGGCCCGCCATTTACGGCAACCAGGGCCCAGGACTCCATTCGGTTCAGGACGCTCAGGCCAGCCTCAGTCCAGTTTGCTTGCCAACTTTGGGACTCCTGTGCCGAATCCTTCATCTCCTGATAAGTTGAAAGCTCACCAAGAAAATGGCAAGCTGATGCGCTACATCACATCTTTTCAACGTACTGGTGGATTGCTTCATCTGCAAACTCGACTTCCGAGGCTGCTTGAACCTCTGCCAAGTCGATCCAAGCGGCCCGATTCCTTGATTCAATATCTCGAAAGCATGCCCACCAAAAGCACACAAACACACCCGCGCCCATGTTTGTGCCGGCAGTCCGGTCAAAGAAAAGACTCTGCATTCTTGTGTTCAGGGCACTTTTTTCGCAGGTGCTTGGCATCGTCCGCGAGGAGTTGCAGCAATCCCACGGTGATCTCGTCAGCGTACAACGGAATGACATGAGCCGGGGTGTTGCCAAGCCGATCTCGTGCTCCTGAAACGTACACAGCAAGACAATACAAGAACTCGGTCAGACTTGCGATGCTGACATCATCCTACTTCGGATATGAAGGGTTTGCAGGGAGCAAAACCAGGCTTCATGCTGCAGGTCTGATCGTCCTCGCTTGGCGGCATTATCGAGAAGTAGCTGCACCACTTCGACGTTTCGAAACCTGCCGATGTTTGCAGACAGCGTGTCCCAGACACATGATGCACGCAGGCAGTGGAACCGGAAGGCCCTCATTGCCTGGCGGCATTGTGAAGTGGAGTATAACCCCTCCCATCTTGAATACTGAGGTCAGCTTGCCTTTGCCGCATGGTGATTCTCCAAGCATGTGCTCAAGAAGCGTCAGTGGCCAACTTATATCACCGAGTGGCTCAGCTAACAAGGCCGCGCAGTCCTCGACAGATAGGTTGCGGACGGTCATTGCGAGGGCCAGTGAGACACGCCGTCTCAACTGGGTCAGCAAAGAAAAAACCAAATCCACGTCCTCAGATCAGGCGTGTCAAACGCAGAATCGCATCCAGCACTATTTGCTTTTCGATGGCGAGCCATCGCCCGAAGAATCTTGGGCATTCTCAGATGCGGAATATACAGGATCTCGGGCACTGAAGGAAGCCAAGGCGATGGGTTTCCATAGGTATGCTCAGCAAACCCGCTCGACCGCTGATCTCGCAGCATTGCTACATGCGACAGCCACACACAAGAGCCCATTGCAAGCGAACTCTCGCTGGGTCTCGAAAGCACGCAACAAGGGAAGATGCAAAAAGGAGGCTCGAGTGGCACGACAATCTCAAACATCTTGCGCCATGTTATGAAGCATTCTTCCGTGCTATACATGCATAACTGCATAAACAATACATACATCCTACCATCCATACATGCATACATGCATACATGCATACATGCATACATACATACATACATGCACAATTACATGCATGCATACGCACATACACAAGCACGTCAATACCTCGGAAAGCAATTTTGCGAAGCAATGGACTTGGTGAATGCCTTTTGTTTTAGCAGGGGCTGCAGCGCACTTTGCCCTGATCCTTCAGCTACAGCAATGTTTGGAATGGCTGACCTGTGACTACTCGAGGTTGGACTGAGAGGTCCGCAAAAACCTGCTATCACTCAGTTGAACCGCCCAGACGACGCTGAATGCCTAACCCAGAGATTTTTGCCAGGATGCCGTCGCCGTGTTTTTGGTTGATGCCTTTTTCTTATCCAAGGATGTGGCAGAAAAGGTCTTCTGCTTGATCTCCTCGATGTAATCTTCGAACTGCGCCTCAGATAAGTTAACACACAAGAAGAGATCGACCGCAATCGTGACGGCGCTGACTGTTTATTGCTGCTTGCAGCACAAGGCTCCTTCAAAGCCTTGTTGCTTTGCGCAGCACACTGGCGCAACTTCTGTGCCCTAGCTAGGATCGACCTGAGCTTCTCAACGAGGCTCAACTATGGAAGCCCCCGCGAAGTGAAAGGGCTCCTGAATGCTACTTGCAGTCCAACTCACTCCTTCAAGTCCGGCGCATTTGCGTAGACGGTACGAGCCTCGGCTGACATGCTGTAAGGAGTTCGAGAGCGGCAGATACTGCAACAACATCCTGTGGTCCGAGGCTTCTGCCGCATATTGCTCATCTGTCAGGGCCACACGGATTGTGGAAACGAGTCGCTCGAAGTAAATCCAACCTCTCAGATTCAAGAAGACATGGACGAGATTGGACGGTAGAATCGAGCAGTCTGCTGCCTCGTTCGCCTGCCGGGACTGCATTGCGCTTCCCCATTGGGGATGGCTGCACGATGAACCTCAGTGGACGTTTGGGACAAGGTCCAAGGTCCTTTTTTATGCCGGCGGCTTCGGCAGTGCTTCTCAAGGTATAGGTATTGTCAAGCTGCACTGGGTCTGTCTCGGCCTCTGCTTCAGACTTCGGTCTCAACTTGTGGAGCCGATGAAGTCGTCTGCAGGGCAAGCATCCGCCTGTGAGCTTGATGCAGCTTGATGATGCATATTCGGCAACAACATCGGGCTGCGACCGTTCCTTCTTTCCCTCGCTTCAACTTGTAGACATCGTCGATGCTCTTGATGTCGCCAAGTGAGGGGTCGCTGCGAATGGTGAAGACTGGCAATTCTGCCACGCTGCCATCCTGTCGTCTCATCTTGGGCCAACCATACTTCGCAATGTGTTTGTTCATGGAAGGCTAGTGCGTCAGTGAATGCGTGGTGCGTGTGTCCCAGACGCTACAACATTCACCATAAAGCAAAGATGGCGTCTCGGTATCTGGACAGCAGCGCATCCACTCAACATCTGCAGCATGTTCAGCCATGCCGCATTGGCCGGGTATTCGTCGTACATCATCACGGCCGACCCATGCTGCTTCAGCTTCATGCGGTTCAGTTCTGACATGCTGACCTGCAGCGTCGCTTGTACGAAACAACATATCCGAAACTGTGATTTGCTCTAGGAGAACCGTTTACGAAATCAGATTTCGGTTGGCTATGAAAAGCTGACGGTGAAGCGGGCCGATGGAACTATGAGACAACATAGGCTACCCATCTGCCTTTCGTGTCTGCCCCTCGCACTCCAGTTCTGGCCAATTCCCTTCCACATGCAGCACTGCATCGGCTGTGAAGAAGACCTGGAGCACAGTCTGTACCACGATGCAGATGCAAGAACGTGAGAATCGCAGCTGCAAGAACCCTGCCTCTGGCAAGGCATCGATGGCTTTGAGAAAGTCTGCCTGCTCTTGCGGACTTCTCTCAGTTTGTCCTGGTTGGAATGGATTTTGGCTCATGCCTTGGCGGACAAGTGACGAAAGCCCTGGCCACAAATGGCTCATGCTAGTAACTTTGCTGCAGTCCAGTTGCTCATGAAATCATAAAATAACATCCTTGGAAAGCTGCAATTGAGCTGACATGCACTGCCTCGATACCAAAAGATGCGAAAGTGCCAAAAGGCTAGACCCCGACCTGCTCATTCCAAGCAAAGTGACGCATCGCCTTTGATCTGGTGATCCTTCACAGCCTGCAGGTGTCAGTTCAGCGCAGACTCCAATTGAGCCTCCATAGATCTCCATAGCGAGCCTCTTCAGTGAGCTGCTTGATGGTTTCGGCCTTGCGTCCTTGGCTGACAGAAGCTGACAGCGCCGTTTTGCTTTACGGCTCGGATCGGAGGTCTTGCCTGGGAGCCTTTGCTTGCGATGCAAAGATGCGGCTGCTGGCCGGTGGCCCTTCTTTAGTCGCGTTACAAAGCCCATAATGCTTCGACTGGCCTGCCCGAGTGACACGTCTGTTGCTCCAGCGATAAACTTTCCCTGCATCGAGGCACCCAAACTACCAAAAACCAAGTGTGCTGATAATTCGATTGCTTCGGTGCGCTCAACCGTTGCGTGTTCAGACTCTTCTCACATGGACCTGTGAGACGAGCAAATGTGTGAAAGGGAAATTGTAACAAGTAAGTTGCAGCTGCAGCTCATGGTTTTCGAGCTTGTTCATTGGTCACTCGTACTCTCGAAGCTGCCGCTAAAGCGGTGCCATCGACTTCGTAACCCTCCGCTGTGCGATCTGAGCAACCCAGCGGATCCGGATGTAGCTGGTGCGACCAGGCGTGCGAAACCGCGAGCACCAGATCATCTCGAGTAGGCGTCTTTCCTCGGCTCAGGTCGACCACGGAGCACCAGAGCCTTCCGTGGCTGACTGCAACACAGCAACTCTCGGCACCAAGGTGTCGCACCAATTCCTGACCTGAGCATGCGAAACTCGCCACGGTAAGAAGGCATTCTTGTATCGCGACGACTCACTGGCAGCTGTCAAGGATTACTTTGCTTGCAGATGTCTGTCATCTCACTCAGCTAGTCCTGGGGACGATGGTTGTGTAGTCATGTGCGAGTTGATTCCAGAAGTGAGGATGGCCCAGCAGGGCCGAGTGCAGTCTTCAAGTCCCCGGGTTCGTGTTTCAACTAGCGAGCGAGGGAAAGAGTGTGCTTAGTATCGGGTTTCTCGATCTGGCTTCAGCGCAGGACCGAGTAGCATGAAGAAATACCCATGTCTGTGCTACCAAACTTAGCTTCCACATACAAGCCCCAGGCATCTGGGCCAGGGTGTTGGCAGATCCTTCACGACGTGAACGGGCCTCATCTACTCGACGGCGAGAACTATTGCGGACATGATGGAAGGCAGGCATGCATGGCACTCACCGCATGCCCAGTGGCGTGAAGTTTACTATCGATTCCAAGCCTTCCTTACAAAGAACCTCAGGACATCTTCCAGATGTGTTGACAGCGAGTCCATGACTAACAGAGAAAACCAGTCGAGAAACCGTCGCATGCCGCAGATCCTCGGAAGACTGCTGATTCAGGCTTGGCCTTTTGCTTGCCATGTGGGTGAAACAGGCCCGGCATGGGAAAAGTTAAGGTAAATACACTTCGGAAGTGCTGCTTTTTGCTGCTCTGCATTGTGCCAAACACCGGAATGTCATGAATTTAGCTTGGTGCATGTATGCTCCTACCGTGCTTTCAGGCCCAGCATCGGAGGCTTGAACCGGAATGTAGCAGTCCGCTAACAGCTACGTGTCCGTAGGTTAGGACACGTCTTGCATGCACATTGCCCATGCGCCTGGTGTTTGCCCAACTGGCTTCGATAACAGTTGGCTGACTTGCAAGGTGCATGTGTAATTTGACGGCCGTCGCTGGTCTTCAGCTCAGCCCAGTTCGGAAGAGACAACGCCGAGTTCGCTCTTCTGCTTGGGCAGCACAGGCCCGGTATCAGACTGTGTTTGCTGCCATGTACTGCCACAGGGCAGTAATAGAGTTAGTAGAGACCTGAGCTGGACCCATCATACTTTGCAAACACACGGGGCAAGTACCGCAAGGAAAAGGAAAACTGTGGATCAGATTTGTTGCATGTCTCAGTTGCTCCGTATCGACACGTGTTAGGATGAAGGTGAATTCTTTTCAGTAAGTTTGCTGCCAGCTGCCCCAAGATTAGCCCATGTCGCGCATTCCACGCGGCTCGCGCATGACAAAATCGGTACGAGCCGAAGACACGTTTCTGTGCCCACTCCCGAAGCTGAATCCAAGCAAGCAAGGGTCCTACGTTGCCAGTTGCCAGCTATACAAGTCTTGACCCAAATGGCCTCGGCAAGAGTCGCCATTGCAACCGCGGCCCCATGCCCGACACATGGAAGCGTACCTCCTCAAGGCTGAAAAGCACGCCGCCAACCGGTGTTCCAAAAGCAGAACTGACCTAGGATGAGCGTGGAACAGCCAGTGTCAAGACTCTGAGTAGCATGTGAGGTGCTTCCATAACAAGTTGGATGAGAGTACCAGTCCCAACACATCTGCCTTGATTAGGACCTGCAATCCCACAAAGCAGCAAGACAACAAGAGAGTATGAGTCCAGTGCCCCCGCAGCCACGGCCGCTGAAAAGAGTTGCTGCCTGACACATGATGGCGCAAGTGAACGCTTCGAAATGAATGCCGACAACACATAACATAAGCAACTAAAGGTAATGTCACGGTTAATGTGCGTACATTGCTCAAGTTTGGCGAACCCCAATTCCCAGAACAAGCTCCACGCGCGCATGCGGCAGAGAAGAAGGTGGATGCACAAAGCTCTGGGTGCCTCTTGCCCTCATTCCGGAACTGTGGAAAGACGCGGGACCTTGCAGGCCCGTTTGCCAGCCAAACGATTCGAGCAACCCAGTATGTCTGAGAATCATACAACATGCTGGCCCAGCAAACTGCCACGTGCACCATCGGGCCTCCGAAGAAAAGTCTAAACCGTGGAGGTGATTCTTGGCACAAGCAGATCCGTTACACGCAGCTTCGCGCCCTCATGTCCGAGGGACAACCCAGATGCCACGGCCAAAATCAAGCAGGGCACCTGCAGATGGACAAAGCCTAGATTCCTCAGCTCGTAGCTCTGCAAAACCAGCTCGAGCAAGTGTACTCGGCCTTGATGAGAAGAGTGCGGAACGTAGCTACCTTGGTTTTCAGAAATCGATGCTACATATCACTGCCAATACTACGACTGTAATGGCTCGGGGTCGCTCCGACACCCTTTTTAGCGACCAGTTGGGTCATTGGCTTTGGATCATTGCTTCATGCTCTTTTCCGGGAGCCGCACAGCATGTAACGCCGCCATCCCAGGTGCTGATTGACTGCTGGGTTCTGAGATGCCTGCATCTGGCAGTACGAAGCCGTTGAGAATCGTCTTCACCTGCAACCGCTTGACTTGACACGTTCTGCTTGCAATTGCGACAGATCGCTTCCTGCCTCCGGAATGCCAGATCCACTAGCGGCAGGTGCGAAGCGGCTCACAATGAAAGCCTGTCAGAGACGCACTCTCAGAACCTCTTGGTTGTTGAACCCAAGCAAACAAAGGGCTCGGCAGATGCCGCTGCCATCCAGGTGCCTCTACATCTGTATAGCTGCATATTTTTTTATTAGACAGCCATCCTATCAAGGCTGGTGCCCAAACAGATGGAGGCGCTGAATCCAATGATATTGGCACCCCAGGAGGCCTGAGCTGCGGTCAATGCAGTTCCACCTTCATTTGCCAGTACTCAGCGATGAGATGCTGGCCCACTGTCCCTTTGGGCAATGCTCTTCACTCCTGCCAGATTGCTGCAGCGAAGAACCAGTTTCAGGAACCTGTAGTACGAACATGCAGAGGCACCTGAAAGGTTCGGCACTGCAGAAGCCAAACCGAAACGAGGACAGGGCTCCAACCTTTGCAGGCAGTATATGAACAAGGGAGATCCAATTTGAGCAGCTTTTCGCAACAGAGGTGTCTACAGAGATTTCGATGATGCCGTATGTCACAAAGCACAGGGCTCCGACACCTCGAAAAAGCAATAGGGCAAGCTCTGCCGAATGCTTTTCAAGCATTGCGCTACTTACTGGAGGCTGCATAAGGATGCTGCTCGCTGCCAGGAGCCAGTTCTGAATGGCCTGAGAACTTGAGGGATGGAGTGGAAGCCGTTACATGCTTCCTCCATGTTGCCTACTTATCGGAACGCTGCATCAACGGACACTTTGTCTGGCAATGGGTGAGCTTCAGGGATTCAGGGTACATATCTTGATTCAAGCCTACCCTGTGGTGTTGTTTTCGGTAAGCACAACCCAACTGCACGACACATGGGTGATCCACGCATTGGGCTTAACTAGGGGCCCTGCCCAGCACCAACTCAAACAACAACCATGTGCCTGACTGGCTCCAATATGCGCATGGCAGCTACAGTTCACGTGGACATTTCGGCAAACGGAACGGCCGTAACCTGCTGCTGCGCAATGAGATTCCGCTCCTCCTCATGCAGCTCGACCTTCTTCGAAGAAGCGAGCGAAACCGGCGTGTGCAGATCGCGCACGTGCAGTCCGGTGGCACGGCACACTGTTGAGAGCCTTGGGCGCGGGCGGTCCGAACGGTCTCCCAAGAAGGCTGTAGCTGTTGCCGCCTCCACCTGCCATCATCTCTCTCGATGTTGTACCAGGCTGTATCAGAGCCAAGAGAATCAACGACTGGCGCATGACGGTGTCTGCAGGCTCTTCACCAATCGCTTCCGCCATACTTTGGAGCTCCTGCGACAACCTGGGTCTGACCGCATTCGCCGAAATTTAACTGGCGCGAAAAGCAGGCTTGGAAAGGGCTCCGACGGTCGGTCGCTGCAGCTGAAGCCCCTAAGATGGAATCCTGAGTCGTGAACACCGTTTCAGTTACAGGCGAGAGCTGTGACAGGTAAAGAACCAGAGCCTTGGTGAAATGCTCATGCTCGCCTGCAGTCAGAAGGCATGCGCAACACCGATGCACATTGACTGGGCAGCCCAACTGCTCTTTCCCAGTTTGGTTGGCGTGAACCTGCGCAGCCGCGAAGCTTTGCACATCAGGTCGCTTCGACCACTGACACAAGTGAATAGGCAAAAGGCTGATGCAGTGACAGGGCGCCAGGGCTCACCTGCATCCATTGAGGGATAAAGCCACTCACAAGGACAAGGATGTGACCAGTCTACACGGGATGCCTCTGGGCTTACATCCGGTGAGCTTTCGGGGCCAGCCATCGAGTGCCGGTCAGCATAGGTTTTGGTTTGAGCTTTCCTGTTTTGGAGCTGTCTATGTCCGTGAGTCAAGCAGCTTAGCACAATTACAGAAAGTGCCGGCGCGATGTTACTTGCAGCCTTTGCAGACTCCGCGTCCTTTCGCGAACATTGCAGGATTCGCCTACTCAGCTGCTGCGCCATGTTGGTGGCTTCGAGCCAATGTGCAAGGCATCCCCAAGCTAGATTGTATACGGCAAGATGTAACGGATCTAACTGCTATGCAGCTTTCGGCCAGTCTTTTGCAGATGCGCCTTCTCAGCTACAGCACGCCATTGCAATTGCACGAGTGCTGCTTCATGATTGTTCGGCTCGGAAACAGAAGGGGTTCCCAGTCGCGACAACTATCTCACTTTATGCAGTCTCGGGTGAAGCTTGATGCGCCTCCTGCGTGTGTGCACATCAATACAGTGCTTGAGGAATTCATCGAGTGCAGGAAACAAGGTTTACTGCATTCTTGCCTGTGCTCGCTTGCGCATCAACAGGCTGATCAAGTCCGCCATTGGCTCCAGCCTATGCCAGTTGAAGCCTTCTCGGGAATCAGCCGAGCCAGCCGAGGCTCGGACTCCGAGTCTTCTACCAAGTCAAACTCCTTTACGAAGTACACGAAATGCTTGAAGGAGTGGTTCCTGGCTGTGATGTCAGCAAGGCCAACAAGCATGCAAGGTAACAATGCCGACGGCCCGAGGCAATGGCAAGTGAGCATCAGCGTCGCACTCAGCCAACTCCTGGATCTTCTAGCTTTCTGCGCAAAAAATTTGACCGCCTGTTGCAGCCCCAGCCGCCTTGAAGTGGTGGTGGAAGACATGTGCGTAGATTCGGAAAAGGCGCTTGTACATCACCTTGATCCCCTGCGTACGCTGCTTGCCTGCTGCAATGTTTGCTGGACTGAAGCACCTGCCTTCTTGAAGTGGGGTGGGAACGGTTGCCCGGGCTTGACAGGCAGAAATGTCCTGGTGAAAACGTAATTCGGAGGTAATCATGTAGAGCTTTTGCTTGAATCCGGACTGACATGCTTTCGACGGAAGGAATCCCAGTAAAATCATGCTCCAGACTAGCCATCCAGGAAAGTGCATGGCTTCAAAACTCAAACTCAAACCATTGAAGTCGAAGTGTGTCATCTTGTTCTTGCTTTCGGTGAATGCTTGTCAGACACAGCGTCTGCACGTCAACATCGGTGGCATGATACCGTCTGACGTATCGTATCATGTCGAACGTGGACCCGAGGGGATTCGGAGTTCGAAGCAAGGAGGCCCAGTACAGTCCCCAGCCAACCCCTTCAACTGCCAGCTCTACAGTACAGCCAGCTGGCAGAAGACGGACGACAATGGATCCAAACAAACAGCAACCTGAAACGCACAGGTGCGTTGCACATCGTTGCACAACCTGAGGTCTTTGCTCGTCTGCCAGCTGGGATTCGACCTCAACATCACCCCAAAACATCGTGCGTAGTGAAGATTAACAAGCAACCAACCCTTCGCACAGCATCTGGCCATGAGACATGTGGGACTCAGATTAGCAAAACATTTGCTGTCTGGTGCTGCTAAGCTTGCCGCCCACACCAACAGCTTCTCTATATACTTTGGCGCTGACAGCTGCTGGGGCGTCTGGCACGCAATCATGTGCGACACGTTGTGCATATTGCATCTGGGCGGCACCTTGACTTTGTCACCATCTGCCCATTGCCACGCATAACTGCCGGCACTCATTGTTGGACATGTCGTCTCGGTGCAGATATCCTGGCAACAGACTGGGGCGCAAAGGTTGGCAGGCAGTTTTGATGCCCGCAAGCGCGACAACCCGATTCGCATGTAACTGCCGCCGGCGGGGCACTTATAGCACCCGCCAAGAGGTTCAACCTTGACAGCAAGTCAAGATCCACTCACGCCTTCTGGCTGCAACGTGCAACATGCACTTGGTGCCAAACTCATTGAACAAATCGACAATGTTCACGGCCTCGAATTCACACGACAGCAATTTCTCCTCGATTTCTTACATGAAAGTCCACTGCTCGGGGACATGAGACAGGCGCTAACCATTCTTCCTCGCAGCAACCACTTGGAAGACGCACCTGCTCCCAGCCGCACCAACGGCAAACTTTTAAATTGCGGAGGACGATTGACCCTTAACCCGGCACCAACAACAAGGTAGCACGTGCGTCTGCCGCCGCGCAGGGTGTGTCGTTTATGTTTGGGGTTTTTTTTGGTCGACAGCACGAAAACCC